ACCACAACATTTGTGGGTTGGCACACAAGAGACTAGTGCATAGCAAGTCATAGACTTAGTATTAGGGATAGAAGTAGGATAGACGCGGCGGAGACTAGAGCTAGTTGGCTGACAGTAGGTCTGTTTTACCATAGACGTGGTCCATGTAGCAAGGGCTTGACCCTGAGACTTACTCCAGAGATTAATCGAAGCCCAGTTTCTCTTCGTATCTGAAATACTTGAATCAGGAAGATAGCAGACGGATCTTACGGAGTAAGAGGAAGACTCTGATAGGACCTAGGGAAGGAGGACTGCGTAACAATATGGCAGACTCTGATCAACATTCCCAGAAAAAGGGTGAAGGGAGGTGAGAACGCCAGCGTGGAGTTTGGAGGGTTCTCATGAAGGCCGCTCAAAAGTGCACACCACACTACATTTAGATAAGGAAGAAAAATTGTGATAGTGAGGGCGTGATACGAGGATATAGGAGGGAAATAGCCCAGTACATGAGTAATACCATCACTGATTAGCACACATGTCTTTGACGAGTTGTAATGCAGTGTTATGACTGGCAAGACTCACTGACGATGCCGGTGAAACGTCTGGGAATGTACCACGTCCACGGTTCGACTTTGGAAATTACCATGCATAAAATGGACTCCGGACTACATGCGTTCCTCTAAGTCTTCCTACCAATATAACGAAGTTGCGAAAACAAGGTCAAACAACTTTCAATTTAGCCTTGCCTGCCAAGAAGCTATATATAAAACTACTTGTATCATAAACAACACTGATGCCCTTTACTTATTTTCTATAGTGGATATGGGTCCTTTTAGCATAGAATTCTCAACTTGACGCATTTTCAAACGTCATGCTAGAATTATAGTTAACATTATTACCGAATAATGTCGTTGAAAGGACCAGTGCACAGCTCGTTAAAGTGATATGCGAGTTCTGCTTAATTGACTATTGTTATTTTAGGGTCTACATTAGCTAAGAAAAAAACGGAAGTCTTCCAGTCTCTTAGGAATTGCTAGACTGCGTAAACGAGGCAAAGTAGACGGCGGCGAAACAAAAGGCCACGCCATCTCGGCCTTTATATCTACGAGGAAAAACAAAGACTCTTAGAATGAACGAACATGCGACCAGAAAAAAGGCCAAATCATCTTGTTCTTCATTTCTAGCCTAAACAAGAGTGAACATTCACACACACATATATATATATCAAGGGTAGATATATTTGAGGGAAAATTATATCCGGTTAAGGCTCAGCTTGCCTGGGTGGATAGCAGCCCGTCTACTAAATTGGCGATGCAAGATAGTTGGTGACGTGTGGGCATTTGATTAAAGGCTGACAATGAGGTAGCTAAACCTTGGCGGTTAAGATCGCTTGCGGCAAGCCCGACCGAGAAATTAGTTGCTGCCAAACATGACCGATTGGAGCCCGATGTTGAAGTAGGTCTGATCAGGCCTGTGTGCAATAACTCCAAAGCCTTGATAAGTTCCTCCTCCCCAGACCTGGGCATCCTGTCAGAATATGAGGAAGCCGGCTAATACACACAGCTGGACGGCTAGACTGAAAAATTTCAAGGCATGTTGATAAATAAATTCAGGGTAAATATTATGTTAGGTAAATATAAACATGCTGTCAAGCAAAATATTTTAAGTTAAACCAACCAACCTTGAGTTTAATGAACAAAGTAAATGAGTGCCAATCACCTTAGGTGAAATATACCTTATCCGAAGTAAATAGAATAATTGAAAAATGTAGTCTAACAAAGGTTATCTAGCCAGTATACGCTTGGCTTATAAGGGGAAATACAATCAAGGCTGTTAAATAAACATGC